GATATCTAAAAAAAAGGATACGACCAAATCTTTAATTTTTAAATTTCATTATCCCAAAGCGAATGCCCCTAAAAATTTTACAAATTTAATTAATCCACTTAGTATAACTCAAATATCCGAACCTCAAAACAATGTTATTATACCTAAAATCCTTGTTCCAGATCCTTTGCCCATAAACCCAAATTCTATTGCTAATGTTCAAAAAGTCCTAGATCATATTAAAGAAATTAGCAGAATTAACAAAGGTGAACGAAAATGGATTGCAGTGGTTTGTGATAGAATTCCTTACCGTTATATGCAAAAATTCAAAAATAACTATCTGGAAATTCTTTTAATACCTGGTCTACTTCATGAGGAAATGAACATATTAAAAGCTTTCGTAGAGTTAAATTGGTATAACATTATTAGTTTAAAATTGGTTAAATTAAATAAGAATTGACCATTATGGGTACGTATCATTTTATAAAAAATCATTTCCCAATATTTTATTTTATAGACAATCAATTCATAGATAAGTTCATTTTGAAGTTAATTACATTACATTACATTACAGACAGTTATTTTAAAAATAATCTTTATAACAGTGAACAACTTTTAATTTATTAATTTGTTTTGGATAATTTGATTATCAAAATAATCATCTTATCAAATCAATTGCTTTGGTAATTAAATTATCCAAAAAGAACCAATAGAAGTTATTTGTGTTAAAGATTGTTCATAAAATAAATTGTTTATAAATATATAAATCAATTGTCTATAAAATAAAATGTTTATGAAATGATTATACCCGACTATCATTATACGTAGGGTACAAATACCCAGTATAATATTAATATAGTGCCCTATATATATTGAAATTAGGTGCAATACCCGGTATAAGGCTAATATAGTGCCCTATATATATTAAAATTAGTGTAAGATTTAGAATATATATAGTTATATATAAAATTAAATACTAAACAATTTTATTTAATATACCTACCTACATATGGTTTTTGGGTCTGTATTATTTCACTGACAATCACTTCACCGACAGCTCATTTAGCTGACATCACGGCAGGTGAAATTTAGTAAAAATATATACCTGCAACTAATCAAATACTTAACCTTAACTCTATGTGATGTCTGCTAAATAAATATTCAGTGAAATGATTGTTGGTTAATTGATCGAAGCCGGGTATGGGTTTCAGTAAAATATTAATGATTTTTGATTTTTTTGTTCTTATACCGAGTATTATACCTATTGGGTACAAATAGAAATTCTCATAATACAATTATATATTATATATTATAAAATCTAAGGCAATTGATTTATGATTTTTTGCGCAATATCAAGGATACAAAACTGAGAATCAGTTGGGCTATTTTAAAAAATGTCCTGATCATCACAAAGCATGGGATTCGATTTGTAATATTTATCAGTACTTAATAGCAATAGAACTAGTTTGGCCTTATGTTGTTTCAGACCCTAATCCGACCATTAATGGATATCTTAACTGGGCTAAAAATCAAAAAGATGAATTATATAGATTAAAATATAAACAAGTATATAGATTAAAATATGAACAAGTATATTAATAAGAATTTTTT